AAGTAGAAATAGAAGATTTTGACTTCGACGCATATTATATAATCGATAAAGATAAACGAAGGGCTAGAATAAAGAAAGAAAAAAACAAACCCTCTAAGGTTGCATATTGTTATGATGAAGCTGAAAACGCTTACCTTAAAGAAGAAAACTGTCAAGCCTGACCTCGTAGAAGTATTATGGATGCCCCTGCTACTGAATCACCTGTTAGTGATCTTTTTAACTATTACTATAAAGACCGCCAGGATCTCTACCAGATTGGAAGATTAGAATCTAGATAACACTACTGGCTTCAGCAATTTCTAGATAATAACCTAGACCTTTTTACCTAGGAGAAAGGGCCACTAGGCTGAACTAACCTTGTAAAGCATCGTATTGACACTGGTAATGCACTCCTGATCAAACAATATCCCTATCAGCATTCCCCACAAAGAAAAAGATTATTCAAGATGAAATTGGGTATATGATTTCAACAGATATTGTTTACCCTTGTCAAAGTTCCTGAACCTCCCCTGTCGTATTGGTCTCCAAAGAAGATGGGAGTACCTGATTCTTCATCAATTATCAGAAACTGAACGCTGTCACCGTTAAAGATAATTATCCTCTCCCTCGTATCGACAATCTTCTGGATGCCCTTTCTGGATCATGTTGATATAGCTCTTTAGACCTTGTTAGTGGATACTGGCAGGTCGAAGTTGAGGAATCAGATCGATTGAAGACTGCCTTTATGACCCCTTTGGCACCTTCCAATTTAATGTTATGCCTTCAGATCGGCAAACGCTCCTGCGACGTTTCAACGCTTAATGGATTATATTTTTCAGGATTTAATTGGCAAATACGTTGTCATCTACTTAGATGATATTAACGTCTATTCTAAAAATTTTGAAGAACACTTAACCTACCTGAAAGAGGTCTTTCGTCGGTTACACTCCACTGGCCTTAAATTAAAACCCACCAAGTGTCACTTCACTAAGCGGGAGTTAAAATTTTTAGGTTACATAGTCAGTCAAGCCAGGATCGCTACTGACCCTAAAAAAATTGAGGCCGTTCAGAATTTTTCTGTCCTCTGTAATATCAGGCAACTTAGAGGCTTTTTGGGATTGGCCTCCTACTAAGGTTCCGCATTTGATTTGATTTGATTTGATTTGATTCAAATATTTGATTTCAAATCAAATTCAAATATAGATTTTCA